GTAATGAAAAGTGGTGATTTTTTAATGTTTATACGAAATTATTTATACTGAGAAAAATATCAGTATCCTGAGATAACAAATACAAGTAAATCTTCTCGAAAGTTAGCATACATATTTTTAAACGTGTTAAAACGCAAACCCTTAAATATATCGACTTAAAAACAAAGTGACATATGCCACTTTCAAAATAAACGGCTCAAATGTACGTGTAAGTATGTATACGTACATATAAAATATAGATGTAAAATATACATATAAAATGTACATATAAAATATACGTATAAAATATGCATATAAAATATACGCAAGTGCATATAAAAATATATACGAATACATATAAAATATGCGTAAGTACATATAAAAATATATATGAATACATATACATGTAAACATATAATAAAATACATATAAGCATATAAAAAAATATATAACGCACCGATATAATGTGTTAGTAATACAATGTACTAATAATTAATAATATATTGTAAAGACGAGTAGAAATAGTGACCAAAATCATTTTCGTTTCGAAAACGCTCGTATCTTCATGGCTCATAATAATGTCCACCTATGTCGCGAAACTGGCTCATCGTTCTCGGCATTGGCGATCCGAAGTGTCTCCATGATATCAGCACTAATTTCGTCCGGGCTTTCGTCGAACAGGTATTTTTTAATCATCCTCGGTCACGTCACAGTGGCACGAGCACACGGATCCGTAGAATCGTAAACCAGTCGTGAGTAGGTGCATTCTTTACTCTCATTCGATACGGCTGTACAGAGTTCGACGACTGTGTGCGAACGCGCGCCGATGGCGCAATCCCGCCAACTATATGTATGTACGCGAGAGTGCCGTGTCATCTCGTCAATGAACACGCTTGCCGCGGCTTGCTTTCGTCTTCCTTTTACCGAAGAAAACGTCTCGCAGTTCAAGGAATCACCATCGAAACGACGCAACAATAATAGAACCTGGATTATCCGAATGGGTCGTGAGAACAATTGTTCGGTTAATAGAATGTTTACTTATTGTTAGATTATCACCTTTGATTTAGAGTAGAACTTCGATTATCCGAAATAAAAATCGACAGTTCATTTCTTTTTACTTCGGATCAATTATTAATGGAATTGCGTAAAATGATAGATCGAGAGAAATCCAGTTCGGTTAATCATAGCTTAGTTATGATAAATATTAGATCGTTTTAGATTCAGATATTTACATTGTGGTTATGTAATTACCTAGTGACATACTTACATAGTTGTATAATTATATGGTTCTATAGATACAGTTAGTAGTTGCATAACTATATAGTTGTGCAGCTATTTAGTTCTATAGATACATAGTTGAAAAACTATGTAATTGTACAGCTATGTAGTTCTATAGATACATGGTTGCATAACAATGAAGTCACCTAGTTACATAGTTGAATGGCTATTTAATTGCATAGCTATATGGTTCCATAGCTACATAGTTTATAGTTATACGGTTCTGTAGCTATATGGTTCCATAGCTACATAGTTGTATAGTTATACGGTTCTGTAGATATATGGTTCCATAGCTATATAGTTGTGTAGCTATACGGTTCTATAGCTACAAAGTTGTATAGTTACTTAGTTGTATAGCTACATCACTGTATAGTTACACAGTTACTTGGTTACATAATTGCATAGTTACATAATTACAGAATTACATAGCTACATGGGTACACAGTCATATAGTTACATGGCTAAATAGTGAAATATTACATAGTTACATAGTTACATAATTACATAGTTTCATAGTTACATAATTAACATGTAATCTTGACATAGTTACATGGTTACATAGTTGCGTATTTACACAATTACATAGTTGCGTAGTTACATAATTACATAGTTGCATAGTTGCATAGTCACATGGTTGCATAGTTATAAAGTTACATAGTTACATAGTTACAAAGTTACATAGTTACATAGTTACATAGTTACATAGTTACATAGTTACATAGTTAACACGCTGCTGCAAAGTATTCTCGATAGCCCCCGAAGCGTTCCGACCAGGAAAGCAAGAAAAGATTCCTTGCAACTGGGTAACCTTTAGAAGCATCATTAATTTCTACACGTTTCTAATAGTCTTATCATCTCTAATATAACGAACAGAGAAAATGTAGTCGAGTATTTGTCACCTGCCGTGTCTAAGATTGATTCAATTAGTGCCTTTCCCGGCGTGAGTGGTCCAGTTCAGTTCAGTTTGCATCATAGAGTAAGAGACTTGTTGTGATCCCGAAACTTTGTGACATGAAATCCGATCAGCTTCGAATCGATCACTTGACCGACGTCTGCTGTAAAAGCTATTTATATCTATGGGACCGCAAACTGTGTGCTGCGTTTCCAAAAACCGGTGCTATTGAAATTTGACAAATCAGAGTCTCTACAATTTTCAAACTTTTCTTTACGCTTCAATATGACTGAAAGCACAGATCTATCTTTTCCATAGAAACAATGTTTCTCAGAAAGATTTTCGGCGACTCGGCAGACAAGTATTCCGAATTCCGTGTGTTGTTTCAGGTTGTTTCAGGTTAGGTTTGGGTTAGGTTTATCTTAACACTCGAATCAACGTTCGCGATAAATCCCTGGCGAATAAAGTTTCTCAAATGTCAAACCAAGGTATTTGTCAGCGGCAACAAAAAATTCTCGAATCGCTAAATTCGAAAATCTTCCAAACTTTTTTTCCCGAAAATTTTTTCCCGATTCCACGACCGGTGCTCGCACAGAACAAAGTTCGCTGGGAATTCGCGAAACCCGTGGGCCGACGTCAGCGCTGTCAACAAACAGGAGAAAACTGCGGCCACGTGTTGCGCAAACGGCGAGTTCCTTTTTGATACAGAAAAAGCAGCCGACCTTGATAAGAGGCGTCTGCGGACTCTTACTTTCCGAGAGAGAAAGAGAAGGGGAGAGTACACGCGTACGAGCGATTACTCCGGTCGTCGTAGTCGAATAGATCGTCTATCGATCTTCTCTGACGGTTGGAATTTTCATGGTTGGCGAAACGGTTGCGCAAACGTCCGCCAGAGGCTCTGCTGTTCCGCACGCGCGACGCATTTCCACGCGACACGGTTCTTCTTTTATTTTGATCGCCATCATCCGATACACCGAGCCGACACGGAACGAAATTTCGCTCGCGACACGCCGCGAGGAAACTGGAACACCGAGTAACATTTTGCTTCGTTCCGCTGACGCAATCGTAGCCCCGCGGAGGAATCTCACCGCAGTGCCGCGCCGCTCGAATCGGCTTCGCTCATGGTCATGGCGCCTCGCCGCCCTTCATCCATAAAACGGCAAGAAAGTAAAGGGGCCGATACACGTGGCACGATCTGTCGCACGAATCCCAGATCTCGCTACCCGGCTGTCGCCTTTTATGTTACCCGGTCGCTTCACCGACGCCGGCAAGAAATTCTAGCACTTTTACGGGGGTCAGCCGAGCTGCGACTTACCCCTCCCCTCTCCGTTGACAGCGGTCCGCAACACGGTTCTCGGATCTCCGATTTCCTACCGCGAAAAGGCTGTCTTAATTGCGCAGCTCTGCGGCAAAAAGGCTGCTCTGTTTACGTGGGAATTGGGATTCTTGTTCGGTTAGGCTTGTCCTCTGGGGCCGTAGACTTTTAATCTAACATCGGTTAACCATGTCCCTAGAGATCCTTTCGTTACCTCGAACTATGTGTCTTCAGTATTTTTGTTTTAGGGTGGATCCTGATTTTGTGCAACTTTCACTTTGTTCGAGTTAAATGGTTTTCGTGTAATAGTCAGGATTTTTGTGGATTTCCAGTTTTTTGGTGGTCTTAGGAACCGTCTTCCTGGCTCCTACCTCCGTATACAGGATACCTAACCTAAACGTGTAGACTTGATCTAAACCTAAGCTTAAGCTAAAATTAAGTTTAACGCAAAACTAACTGAATACCTCGAGACCTAACTTAATAATACAGCTGTAACATAGCACTTTTTTGTTTTGGATCCAACCCAGTCCTGCCTGAATAAAATAGCAACAATAGTCCATTTGTATCCTAATCTAAAACCAACCCAACCTTATCTGAACGAAATAGCAGCAGTATAACAGTTGCTTCTGTGTCGCACCTAACCTTCACCTAACTGAATGAAATAATTGTAATATATTAGGTTAGGTTATAAATAATTTTCGATGCAGCTAGGTAGAATCTACAGGGTGTCCTAAAAATTACTTAAAATCGAAAAAGTCATTCGTAGTAACTTTTTCCTTAGCGCAAATGCAGTCCGCGGCTTTGTTTACGAGTATTCACGAATAACAGTGACCAATGAGAGGCGAAATCGGCTGGCACTAGGTGGCGCTCGCGATAAGAGGCGCACCAGGCCTACTCGCTCTCTCATTGGTCAGTGTTTTTCGTTAATAACTCGTAAACGAAGCCGCGGATTGCATTTGCGCTAAGGAAAAAGTTACTTCAAATGTCCTCAGCAATCCCTCAGTTCCCGATTTTGAGTAATTTGTTGGACACCTTGTACTCTTCGTATCTACCCATTACGAGTCACCGGAACAAACGAATTTCTGCTTCCGCTAAATAAATAAATGTCCAAAATAAATGGAATAAAAAACAAAAAATAAATAAATAAAAAGAAAAAAGCAAAATAAACGTCTGATAAAGAAAATAGAAGTCACTTATGACACGACCTGACATTAATTAGTTGTCGAATCCAATCCAGACTCGACGCAGACCTAATTGGACGAAGCTACCTTGCCGGNGTCGCACCTAACCTTCACCTAACTGAATGAAATAATTGTAATATATTAGGTTAGGTTATAAATAATTTTCGATGCAGCTAGGTAGAATCTACAGGGTGTCCTAAAAATTACTTAAAATCGAAAAAGTCATTCGTAGTAACTTTTTCCTTAGCGCAAATGCAGTCCGCGGCTTTGTTTACGAGTATTCACGAATAACAGTGACCAATGAGAGGCGAAATCGGCTGGCACTAGGTGGCGCTCGCGATAAGAGGCGCACCAGGCCTACTCGCTCTCTCATTGGTCAGTGTTTTTCGTTAATAACTCGTAAACGAAGCCGCGGATTGCATTTGCGCTAAGGAAAAAGTTACTTCAAATGTCCTCAGCAATCCCTCAGTTCCCGATTTTGAGTAATTTGTTGGACACCTTGTACTCTTCGTATCTACCCATTACGAGTCACCGGAACAAACGAATTTCTGCTTCCGCTAAATAAATAAATGTCCAAAATAAATGGAATAAAAAACAAAAAATAAATAAATAAAAAGAAAAAAGCAAAATAAACGTCTGATAAAGAAAATAGAAGTCACTTATGACACGACCTGACATTAATTAGTTGTCGAATCCAATCCAGACTCGACGCAGACCTAATTGGACGAAGCTACCTTGCCGGAGGCTCGAATACTACTAATGAACATCATAAATCTCTCTTTCTCGGTGCACACGTATTATCGAATAAATTATTTCATTAGAAGAGTCGAGACTATTCTATTTCCGAGAGCTTCTAAACGGAATAATTTTACGGCATGCATTAATGAGAGACTGGTATTAAATTTAAATACTGTGATTCATTATCCGCTCGATCAAATCCATACATTTATAGACCGTGAATGGTAATGAAATTCTCCGCCGCTGTAGGCGAACGCTGGCCCGCGTAATTCTGGCTATTCGGAGCGCGTCGATCGATCGATCGTTGGAAGACGTCGTTAACCCTTGTCCTGCGATTGCCGGGTCATTTCTGTCCCGATATATTTTTAATTCGTCATCTAAGCACAACGGAAACACTAATATAAATTTCAGTGAAATACGTTCGAAAATATGTGATTGGAAAAATTCTTGGATAAAGCACAGAATTGTTATAAACATTGCGAATTGCTGCGGCCGGGTACGTTCGTCGGGACAATTAACGGTCATTGGAACGAGCGGGACTGGTGTACCGGTGAGTTTCCTCGCGTCAATTTTATAGGAGAAACTGGTAATGAGTCTATCGACCTGACATAGCAGCTTACATATATCGACCAATTTGCGGCGGCTAATTAATTTATCGCTCGCACATAGCACGAAAAAAATGTCCGTAAATCGTGCAAAAAGATGAAATACTCGGAACATACCGATAGAACACCAGGTAAAAACCTGATTATCCGGACCGGTCGTGGAGAGCTGAACGTTCGGATAGTGGAACAATCACATGGTTGCAAGGCTGCCAAACATTTTTCATCTGTTGCGCGATTAATTTAGTCACTGTCAATCATTTTAGATCGAATTGCCTCCATGCGGAACGAATTCGGGTAATTAAACAGTAAGACATTGGCGGTCCGGATAATCGGATTACTACAGGGTGTTCCAAAAATGTCTCGCAATCAAAAAATGGGGGTTCCTGAGGTTATTGAAGCAACTTTTTCCTTTAGAAAAATTTTCTCCGAGGCATCGTTGACTAGTTTACGGAAAACATTGACCAATGAGATGCGCGCTTGGCCGGCGCGAAGCGGCCCAGCCAACGAGCACGCGGAGCCCTGTTCCGATCATTGGCTCGGCCGTCACGTGTCAACCAAACTCTCCTCTCGTTGGTCAGTGTTTTTCTTTGATAACTCGTCAACGATGCCTCGTAGAACATTTTTGTAAAAGAAAATGTTACTTCGAATGATCTCAGGAACTCTCCATTTCCGGATTACGAAATATTTTTGGGGCACCCTGTATTGTATTCTATTAAAATCTTTCTGGTTCGTAGGTTATGTTTTATCAAGCGTCTTCTTCAGATATTTTTGAATCTATTACTTGAAGATCAGTATCGATCCTCCTGTTGATCTTAATATCATAATTAGATCAGCAATCCGAGTCGATCAGAGCTCTTGGAAGCCGGTGCTATGCAACCGAGTTATGTCAGACGTGGTTTGGTTCGACGCGAGACATCCGTGGCATTTCGCGGAATCATAGTCTGTTGATGAAACACAGTATTACCTCTGATTCCGACTACGGTGCAGATATTAACCTTTCGAGCTGGCTAAAAGAACGTTTCGAAACGCGACGACGGCAGTTAACGACGCGAGGCGCAGTGGACCCAATCGATGAATCAGCTCTTCACGACGATTTTAGCTATGTTTTAAGACGTAAAGACAGTTTTATATAGGTCGTTGAATTCGTCTTGACGTCAGCTATAATATTATTAAGTAAAAAAGATATAGCAACGACTAAAAAATCAAGGTGACATTAATATTTTATTTAAAAAAAAGTTTTTTATTAATTTTTTATACTGATCTTTATAGAAGTCAGAGCATTAATTAATTTTTGTTCGAAACATTTTTTTGTCAAAGCACCGGAAATGACTGAAAAATTGCGATAACGTGTGAATAATAAATGGTGTTTGTATATTTTTATTTTATCAGTGGTGCACTTCTCGTACTTAAAAATGCTGTTGTCTGTAAGAAATATTGCTTGTAATTTATTTGTACATTAATATTCAATTGACTAAGGAGAGCGTCAACGTTTCATATAATTAATAATTAATATCTTCCGACTCTCAACACATCGCAGTCTGAGAAAGATTATTATTTAAAGCGGCTCTGTGGCCGGAACCGTCAAGAGATTATTGTTGTTTTATTTTTTATTATATTAATTTGTATATTTTAGTAATGATACTTTTGTTGTTACCTAATATTGTTGTTGTTCAATTGATATAATCAAGCAGTATTTCTTACAGACAACAGTATTTTTAAGTACGAGAAGTGCACCACTGATAAAATAAAAATATACTAACATCATTTATTATTCACACATTATCGCAATTTTTTCAGTTATTTCGAACAAAAATTAATTAATACTGAGACTTCTATAAACATCAGCATAAAAAATTAATGGAAAACTTTTTTCTAAATAAAAGATTAAAGTCACCTTGATTTTTTAATCGTTGCTATATCTTTTTCACTTAGCAATGTTATAGCTGACGTCAAGACGAATTCAACGACCTATATAAAACTGTCTTTACGTTTTAAATCATTGCTAAAATCGTCGTGAACAACTATAATTCTCCGTCTGGGACCACTCGGGCGACGTTCCGATCCTCCCGGTTTCGGGAACAGTGTGAGTCATCGGAGAAATCAAGGACTACTGGAGGCGCAGCCTTCGGGACGGTTGCAGCTCTGTATTCCCGACGCACGCGAGCACGACACTGCCATGGGGAATAAATAGGAAGTATGGAATACCAGTTTGTCTAAAAAAAAAAAGATACAGAAAAAACCCGTGTAAATACCCGTAAACCGGCACTGCACCTACATCCGGCCTGAT